AGGTATTGATTGATAAGACAGAGGGGGACAGTGGACTCCAGACAGAGACCCCAGGGGAGAGGGGAAATCAAGTCGATCCTGTAGTGTAGCAGCCCATGTGGAGGAAGAGAAGTGTGTTCCCAGAAGTGTGTTCACACACACACATACACACACACACACACACGTCTGACTGAACAAGAGGACACAGAGGATTCTGGGCAGAGTGGCCGCTGGGACTACCACCGAGAGTGGCCTGCCTGTCAGACTGAGAGATGAGGCTTAGCTGAGAGGGTAACAGGGAGGCCCCGAGGGAGTGGAGCCGGGGACTGACATCACAGGGCTAGATGGGACACGAGAGGGAGAGTGACACCCCTGAGGCGGGAAGACCAAGAGGTAAAAGGCCATTGGGAGACATGGCAGCTTAAGGTGCAAATCGACTTGTGACAGCAGGTGTGATGAGACTCTGTAACGGGAGCATCCCACGTGCCAAGCACCCAACTGGCTCATGCTTCTGAGCCACGACCCCTGAACACCCAAGGAACAAGCCTCCCGGGAAGAGAAATCCACGCGTGGAGAAACACTTGTGCTGAGAGGACCCCTGAGGTGTCACCCACAGGCGCGTCTGCAGACACTCAAGAAGCCGATCCCAGAGCAGGCGGGAGGCTGGCCGCAGACACGGGCCTTCCAGATCACTGCAGAGCGAGACACAACTTCAGTGGAACCGCCCTGACCTCAATTAAGTGGTCTGAAGAGGGAGGTCGAAGCAGAGAGAGACAGATGTAGGGCAGTGGGCTCAGAATTCCAGGCCGAGTGGGACATGAAAATGTGTCAGAGCACACATGTGGGGCCCCTGGCCCAAGACCTGAAGGGACACAGAGCGGGGACGGAGTGAACGTGTGAAAGTGCAGACTAGTCTTAGTACTACAGTACTATGCATTTGACCTGCAGAGAAGCCGCACCGAACTGGACAAGCCAGGCCTCCCTGGGCCTCCTGGAGCCCGGCCCCATCTGCTCAAGAGGCACCGTGCTCTCGGGACACCCAGTGTCCTCTTGCAGGCGTGGACGCAGCATCAGGGGCCCTGATGGCATGCCGGCTCTGTGCCAACCACCGGGTTCAAAAGAAGCCCCAGCCTGAGGTGGGAAGCTCAGAGTGAGAGAAGCCTCCCTGATACGGGGCGAAGTGAGTCGCAGAGAGCTGGGATATCCAGAGCCAAGAACGCCAGCCGTGAGTGGCGGGAGGGAGAGTCTCTGGTGCCAAGACTCATGCCTTTCCTTCTAGAATGCAAGTTGGGACTCACCCTCCTGCGCTCAGCTCCCTCCCGCTGGCCCAGAACTCTCTGAGGCGCTGAGGGCTCCCTGGCAGCTCCAGGCCTCCTCCCTGAGGTGGTGCGTGGGGTGGGGGTGGGGGGGCTGGTCAGCCTTGAACACTTTTTTCCAAGGCGGGCTGCAACTCAATGACACCAAGTTCTAAAACAATGCCCTGGGCCTGTGAAAGATGCCACCCAGTCTGCCCTGGCTCAAGCTGCATTCCTTCACGACACTCCCACATGGGGGGGGGGGGGGGTCCCGGCCAAGAGAAGAGCCCCCACTCTCAGGGAAGAGAGCCGGGTGGTCTCTGCTGCCTGGCTCTTCTCAGGCGACTGGGCAGCATGTCCCCTGCCAGCACCGCTGACATGACCTGCACACTCCAGGCCTCTCAGCCGGCACAGAGAGGCAAGTGGCGTCAAGACGTGCTGTCCCGGCTCCTGTCATATCCACCTTGACTCCACCGAGTCTGTCTGTCAAATGCACAGCACGGGGCCGGGGGCTTCCTAGAAAGAGCCACGGCTGAAGCCAAAGCGTGCAAGTCCCAGCTGGAGCCAGTGCCTGGCTTGGGCTTGGGGCAGGTCCACATGGGATGCTTTGCCCATGACTCCTGAGAACACTCTTCCATTCGGAATCTCTCGTCAGAGCTGGGGAGCTCAGGGCAGACAGACCCGGTGGGATGAGACAGAGGAGGACTAAGCACCAGCCCCAAGGCAGTACCAGCGCCATCCGTGCTCTGCTCTGGTCCCTCCTGAATGGCACACTCCTTCCCGGGCTATGAGATATGCAGGAGTTAACCAAAGAGGGTAACGGCTCCAACAAGTCTGTAAGTCCTTAGAAAGGCACCCCGCGATACGGTCACTTTCCATTCTAACTGGTCTCTAAAAATGCATTTCTTCGAACTTCAACTTAGACATGAGGGTTTACATATGTCTTGTATTTAACTGTTTTTTTGAGGGGGTAAAGCAACAGGAAAATTCTACGGAATCTGTGTCAACCAGCAAAATGTAAGACTTTGGTCTCCAGGGGCTGGAGCCTCTGCCCTGCACACAGGAGGCTGGGTCTGAGGTCTGGGGCTTCATGGTCCCGCAGTACCACAAGGAGTTAGGTGGGAGGGAGCCCCACAGTACCACTGGGTGCACATCCGCCCACCAAAACGTAAGACCGCTCAGGACAGCGTTTTGTGCAAAGTACTTATTCAACTGGAACACTGCTAATTAAACTATTACTTCCTGTGCACTGCATTTGCATAAGGTCTTAAAGGAATAAAAATGCTGGTCCCGTGCCCTTGAATGGCTGACAATGTAGAAAAAGACAAATCAAGCGCCTATCACTGACGAAATCTCTGGTAGGTGAAGAGTGAGTGACAGCACTCAGAGAGAGTCACAGGAGAAGGGGCGAGGCAAGGGGAAGGTGTTGGCAGAGTAAGGAGGTAGGAAATGGAACTGTTTCAGCAGGAAGAGGACGTGAGAAGGGCATCTTGTGTGCTGGAAAGCGCTTTATTAAGTGATCAGAGGGAAGAACGCAGATGTGCCTTAGGAAGGAGTGGCGTCTGGCGCAGGGCAGGCTGGCAGAGGAGAGAAAGCAGGGTGACCTGGGAAGGTGCTTGGGCCCAACCGAAGAGACACACAGTTCCCTTGCAGGAACAGAAAGCGGTTTCCAAAGAAAATCTTTCGCAAATGACTTGACACCTAGCTTAGATTTTTAGAGTGAGAAATAATTTATTATAAAGCTCCCTGGCAAACTTGGGGCAAACTTCGCAGAAAAAGAACAGAGATAATGGAAAAAAAAAACTGTGATATTTTTGTTTAGGGTTTGAGTTGGCAAAGTTTTGGCTCTGGCTTAACTGACATATTTATTTTTTTTAATTTTATTGATTCACCGTGAGATATAGTTACAAGCTTTCATGTTTGAATTACACAATCACAGAATGATCAAACACCCATCCCTCCACCAGTGCACATTCCCCACCGCCAATATCCGCAGTATACCCCCCCTTTCCCACCCTCCCCTTGCCTCCATGGCGGACAATATTCCCCATACTCTCTCTCTACTTTCGGGCATTATGGTTTGCAATGCAGATACTGAGAGGTCATCATGTTTGGTCCATTATCTACTTTCAGCACACATCTCCTGTCCCGAACAATCCCTCCAACCATCACTGACTCAGTGATCCCCTCTCTATCCCAGCTGCCTTCTCCCCCAGCTCATGAGGCAGGCTTCCAGCTATGGAGCAATCTACCTGACCCTTGTGTCTACTGTTGGACCTATTCTTATTCTTATATTCTGTGACATCTTTTCCACTGAATTCATTACCTGTGCACTGTCTGGCTCCAGATTCTCTGGAGTCAGAATCTGCCAACTTATCCCCCTGACCCTTCCTGTCCCAACTCCTTACTGCCATCCACTTCCTTATACTTCTCCTAGGCACTAAATCAATAATTGTAACACAAATTTTATACTTGCTACAGTGCCAGGCACTGAAGTTAATGTTTCATGAACAGCACTTAATGTAATCCTCTCCCCCCCACCCCCCCTGCCGCCAAGCTGGTCTAAGTCACCATGAAATAGGTATTATTTTATTGTACACATAAGGAAGCAAATTTTAAGATTTAAACAGTTTGGCAAATGAAAGTGGCAGCACCTGGGTCCACACTGCTTGGACCAGTTCACGGACTGCCTCTTCCTTCTGACCCCTTTTTCTTGGTATGACTCATATTCCATGAAAGATGGAGACATGCACTGAACGCCAGCGGTGTACACAGGAGTAAGAGCCCATGAGAGCTGGTGCTTACAATCACCTGAGGTTAAAGAGCTGGATTTTGCATCACCGTGTACGGTGCCATGGGGCAGCTGCGGACGGGGAGGGAGAAAGACTCCGTCCACAGCGCTGGGCAGAGACCACTTCTCCCAGAAAGACCGCAGCTTTCAAAGCCTCTAAGACCCCCCTGCTGATGGAAATCAATGTCCTGCCAGAAGTTCCCAACCAAATCTGCTTATGATCCATGTTCAATGAACACAAGAAAACCCCACTGGAGCACTTGAGCAGCTGGTTGGCACCCAGGGAAGCTGATCTTGGCTGATCCTGGCAAGAGTGTTACCGGCTCCCGCAGTTATCTGCTCATCTGGCTGAAACATACAGGATATCAAACTCTTTGAGCCACATGGCCTGCGTGTTCCGCAAAATTACGTAGATCTACTTAGTCACAGAAAGATAATCCAAGCACGTCACTTTTTAAGGCTCTCTGCTTCTAATCCTACCTGCACTAACTTCAGAAGATGTTTTTGCTGAATGTTTTCAAGAAACTGGTTTCCTTTTTACAAATCACTAACAGTCACAAAGAGATAAGAGTCTGCGCCAGGCACTGCTCGGCTACAAGCACCGGTGCCTCGGGAACTCCGGGAGGAGCCACAGTTACAGATTCAGCGGGCCGCCTCCGCTCTCTGCAGGTGCAATGTTGATGTCACCAACTGCCCAACTGAGACACACCCCAAAAACTGTAGAGGTCAGTACCAGTTGGACTTAGCCTGTATTTTAAATTCTGAACACAATTCCTTTTTAAGAAAATGGAGGTCAACAAAGAGAAACCATCTTATACCACTCACTGGTTCTGCCATCAGCATCAACAGCAGTAGACAAAATCATCAAATGCTTTGTGTCCCGTTCCCAGGGAGAAGCACCAGGTTATATACAGTTCACGACAACTGATACTTACTGCTCAATTCGGGGAGACAAGTACAGCTTGGGGTACACCTGAGTGGCTTCAGTGTCCTCAAAACTGACAGAAAGGAGGGCCACATCTTCTCCAGGGTCTTCATTCACATCCTTAAACAGAAAGGACAAAAACACATGTAGTGAAGACCCGCTCTCCTCAAATCCAGCTGGTGATGAACTCATAGATTTTTCTGGCTTCGAGGCAGGGGCTGAGAATGGCCTGGGCAGTGTACGTTCCTGGGTGCACAGTGAGCCACTCCCGTTCAGCGACGCCTCTCAAACCTGAGATACAAGTCCACTATGGAAGGAAAACGTTCCCTCCTCTCTCTCTCTCTCTCGTACCCACATTCAAAGAATGTTTGTTTGTCTTCTTTGACCCATACCTGGCTGTGCTTGGACCATACACAATGCGAAGTGATGGAAACACAAAAAACAAGCACCTTTCTAGTTAACGGATTGCCGCATTACCCTGTTAGCAACATGCTGAATGGTTTCTAATTTACACAAACAAGTGATAATTACTTTTTATAGAAAGAACGAGATATAAACATAATATCTAAGAAAACGGCAAAGTCTTCAAAGAGCCGGCAATTTTATTAGACTCCACCTTGACAGTCTGTTGTAAGTTACTGAAAGAGCAAAGAGTGACGAAGTCCGCCACCATCAAAGCAAATGGGAGAGGAGCTTTGTACACGCGGAATCAGACAAAACGAGGATGGGTACAACTCGCATGTGAACCACGAGACATACACAACGCCAGAAGTCTAGTCTAGAAGGATGCTGGGAGACAAAAATGGTGATGACCCAAACATGCATCGGGAATCACTGAGAGGTCAGCCAGACCAAAGGCCAAACGGACTGTGACCCACAACTCAAGAACAGAAAAAAATTCCAGTGGGATGTCAACCACCTCGAGTCGACTTCCTGTGATACACCGAGGAAGCATCCCGTGTCAGAAGTGTGGGGCTAACGATGATGGCACCAGCTCTGCGATGGTTGCTAGACACTGAGGGCTCGCCAGAGTTCCATGGAAGACATTCTCGTAATGTGCTATTTTTAATGGCTAAAAATCAGATTCTAATCAGGAACTGTGATCATCTATTCTTTGGTTGACGGTGCTTCCAAACCTGACATTCGAGGATTAGAACTGCATTTCCTTACTGGTAGTGATGGTAAGGACGAAGCCGTCTCTCTGGAGCAGTACCTGGGTCCTCAGGAGGTCCCAGCAGCCCACCTAGGAAGGTCCTCACAAACCAATCACGGCCAGCTAGGGTGTCCTTCGCTCTGCCCACCACCATCCTTCTGTCTGTCCTTGCATCTCGTGAAGTCGGTCATCCCCCCACATCCCTCACCCTCTGACAACTTCTGTCTCAGTCTCCCTGCTCGGCCTTCATTGGTGCCTGTGGAAAGCGCAGGCAAGGCCTGTCCACAGGGGGACAAGGAGCAGAGCTGGTCCTGCCTTCGATCACATAGTTTTTCTTTTTAGAGAGACCACGCCAGTCTCTCTATAATCACCCAGGTTCTCGTTCACTTTTGTCCCCTTCAGAGCCTGCCCAGAGAGCTGTCTCCATGCCCTGTCACGACTCCCGCCCACTCGTCCCAGAGCTCTCTCCCCAGCCAGGGCCTCTCCACAGGACCAGCGACTGGTGGCCACCCAGGGCGTCGGTGTCTGCATCTGACAGAAACAAACACGGATGGTGTCTGTCTAGAAGCACCCGCTTCCTCCTTTCCTTCCGCCTCAGAAACTACATTCTCATCTTATGTCTTTATTTTAACCGCTGCCCTCTTCCCTTTTCATTCTTTTGATTTTGAATACCTTGATTTCTTTTCATTTAAAAACCCTAAAATTTAGTTTTATAGTAACAAGTCAAGCCATACAGAAATTTATGTAGAAAATGCTTCCTGGGGAAGGAAAAGCTACATGGAAGGTCCCCCCCCCTCCCATGAGCATAAACACACACACACACTTGCATATAAACAGTGCTTTAACCTTCTGCTTTGTTCTCCCTAATGGAATCATATTATACAAATCATTTCTACCAATTGTTTCCTAAAATAGCCACATAATATTCCAAGGCACGGGTTTATTTTTTATTCAACCATTCTCCTAGCAACGGACATTTGGGTTACTTGTTCTTAGCCACTGGATAGTGCTATAATAAATACCCGTGTGTGTGTGTGTGTGTGTGTGTGTGTGTGTGTGTGTGTGTGTGTGATCTGTGTGTCCTCTTTACCGGCAGGACTTATATTTCTGAACTGATACCTAAATGTGAGCTCATGAGATGAAAGGTTAAAACACTCTGCATCTTAATAGAGTCGGGAGACTGTGTTCCTGGGCTTTCAGTGGGGATTCTCCTGTGGGTGGGTGAGTCACATCAGTGGCCAGCGAGGCCTCCGCTCTTCCGGGGTGGGCAATGCGGCACTGGCCACTGTCACTTGTTTTAACTGAATGTCATTGCTCTAATCACTGGAAAATGCAGTTTCATTTAGATCCATTGAATGAATCTGAGCAACTTTTCACCTGACCGCTGGTCATTTACACTTATTATTTGCAATTTTGGGGATCAAATCTCTGTCCACTGCCCTTTCGAGTATTTGGGTTACTTTTGTGAGAGCACTGGTTAATCACTTATTAGTCCTTGTCCTTTATTTTCATCATAAATATGTTTTCTCTCAGTAGAGTTTGATGTGTTGCTTTTTTTGTTTCTTGTTCGCTTGGGTTTGGGGTCCCGCCTGCTGGTGCTGGCTCTGCACTCAGGGCTCAGTCCTGGTGGTTCTTGTGGGGGCCTGTGTGGTGCTGGGCTTCAAGCTGGGGTGAAAGGCACAGCTATACGCTAGGCAATCGCCTTCCCGTACTTATCTCTCCAGTGGTTCAGTATTGTTTTGACTTTCAACCTTGTTTAGGGACATCTACGGACACTACAGAAAACTGCATTTTTTTACAGGGTTCAATCTGATTAAAAACTCTGGGGTTTCCCTAATTTTTCAACTAACATTGTTAGAATTTGGTCTTTATGTGTAGATTTTTAATCAAGTTTTCTTTTTTTAGATTTTACTGAAGAACCACGATTCACAGAGACACTGAACAGTTTGTGCTGTAGACATACAATGTTCTCGCACCGGATCCCAAGACCAGTGTCAGCCTCCCTCTACCAGTGTTCCCACGTTCCTTCCTGCCTCCAAGACAGGACACGAAGGTGGGATCACAACACCGCAAGCACGAGATCCAAACCCCCTCTACTGCGAATGTCTCCTAGATACATTCCTAGGCGACTTGTGACAGAAAGTTCCTAAGGAAAAGGACACTGGGACAGTGCCCAGCAGTAAACCCCACTCCACGCACGCCTGACTGAATCGGAGCTGCAGCTGCTCCTAACGCGACCTCCCCACCCGGTAACTGCAGTCACCTGCTTTACAAAGGGCACTGTCCCCAGTGAGGTCTGCACATCCAGACTGGCTCGGTGCACCTTGTCTCTCTCTCTCTGGAACTGGGGTCCTGAAGTGGAGCCCAGCCGGGAGCCGGGGCTGACCGACCACCTGCTCCCTGACTGAGGCTGACATCCCTCCTCTCTGAGCACACTTTTCCGTGAAAGGGAGCGACAGGATCTGCAAAGTATTAATGGGCCCAACACGAAAAAAATGACAAAACTGCAGAAGATTCGGGGGCTCCTTAGGGACTGGGAATGAAGGTGGAAGCCGAGCCTGAAGAGACATGAGCTGCTGGCCGAGTCGCAGGTGCTCCGCTCTGACCAGAGAGTCGCCCTCCTTGGGGGCCGGGCTGCACCCCTTAGGAGAGATGAGGAGAAGACTGCTCATGCAGACCCTCAGATGCTGATCCCAGGGTCGGCCCTTCTAGTCAGAGGTCAAGGCTTTGACTAGAAGTCCCCGGTCTGTGAACCCCTACGGAGACCAGCAAGTGAGGGGCTGCTGACAGGAGAGCCTCCGAGGCAGGATCACCATGCTGTAGGGGTGACGATGGCTCCCCTCCCCCTCCTGACTCCTTTTTTTTTGGGGGGGGGAGAATCTTGTGGTCACACTCAGTGATGCTCAGGGGTTACTCCTATCTCTGCACTCAGGAATTACTCCCAGGAATTGCGTTGGTTACATAAATCCCTTGTAATGTTAGCTTCTAAGAATCATGGTATACAAGAGCTTCTTTTATCATTTCCCAGATGGCAAGTGCTTGGGGGGAGGGACCCTCTGGGGTGCCAGGGATCGAACCCGGGGCGGCCGCGAACAAGGCAAGTGCCCTCCCCACTGTACTATTGTTCCAGCCCCTCCTTACTCTTTAGCTCCTCACTGCAGTATTACATAAGCAAAGTGCCAGAATGCGCATGGGTTGTCCTCTGGAACAAATGCTCTGGCCTTGGCTTATATCAGCAACACTATCACCGGGCGTGCTGCAGAGGCCATGAAACACTTGTCCGAATACGAAAATAGTCGTTTCCAGGAGCTCCTCTGAAGTACCACGTTAATGTGACTCACTCCCCGTGAGGTGGGCGCACGAGTTTTCCCTGAATTGCTGCTTGATTCCTAATGGCTACCTGAGATTGACTTTGAGTGCGTAAATAAGCTCGCAGAGATCCAAAAATGCAAGTGCACACGGCGCTGTTTCCAGTGTCCGCGCCCCGCGTGGGCCTGGACATGTGTTCCCTTCCCATCTGGGGAATTAAAAAAGCAGCTCTTGTACCACGGTTCTCAGAAGCCAACATTACAGAGGATTTGTGTAGCCACAAATGGCAGCACTCAGAAAACAGGGGGCTGCGAGACTGGAGTCGGGGACACTTAACAAAATGCCCAAGTCTACATCCTCAGAGCTTTCTATCTGCACCATCTGAAACAGCCGTTGACCCCAGGGGGGTTGGGGGGGGGGAGGGAAGATGCCAGACCCGGGGACGCTCGGAAAGAAAATCCCCCCTGACCTTCAAGTGTATCGACCCGGGCGTACACAGGGGGAGGTGCCAAAGGCCACCACAACTGGCTGCAATTAACCCCAGGCTGGCTCAGCACCTGATGGCCACAGAGGGGCTTTCTGCTGGACTGAGTATTCACTAGTGCCTTCCCTGCAGGCTGGGAGGCCGGCGGGGTCCGACTGCCCTCCCAGTCTCCCA